ACCTTTCTCTATTGAACCCAGGCTTGTCCCAACATATTCAAGGTAGTTATTAAGGCTTTGTTGTAGAATCAGTGAGGAAAAATCAGTTAGAGAATTCAAAGTCATGAAAGCCCTATAAATTTCTTCAATAGTAGCTTACTTAAAGTTAGTAATGATAATTTTCTAAACTTATCTAATCCGCTGATGATATGTTACCTGCTCTCTGAGTGTAAACTCACCCCAATTATTTTAAATTTTCTCTGATGAGAATTAGACAGCTCTATCTATAGCTTGGAGATTTAGGGACATGAGAAGTGTTTATTAGAGAGTGCTCTATCTATAGCTTGAGGTTTATGTTATGTAAAAAGAGTCTTTTTCACTCACTAGAGTGACCTTGGTGTAGTTTTGCTCTGAGACTTTTATATTTCAACGAAGGTTTTTTTTTCATGTAAAGTTTTATTGGTAATAAGGAAGTGTATCGCAGGCTTAGCATGTGCTTTCACATATGTCGCCGTTATCATGCATTTCAAAATATGCTGCATATTTTGGAGGCATGACATATTAGATACCGTGGAAGATTGAGTATTGCATATTGTAAAGCTTTTGTGGAGAAAATTACAAATATGATTCATTCCTGGGAGGCTAGAAAACTTTCTTTTAATTGCTGATAGATTTCAACTGGTCACAAGTGTGCTTCTGAGTATACAAATTTATTTGTCTAGCTCTTATATATGCTATGCCCAATCATGTCCTGAGAAAGGTGGATGAGCTATGTAGAAGACTTTTGTGGGGTTGTTAAACACGATTCTGCAAATATCTCTTTAGTAGCATGAAAAGTATTATGTAATTAGGAGAGGAAATGTGGTGGCCTGATTGTCTACTCAGTAAGCAATTTAGAATAAGGCAAGCATGCTAAAACTTATTTGGCAAATACGCTTGAAGAAAGACCTTTGGATTAAATGGGTGCATGAACATTATCTAAATTAAGCATCAAGACATCCAGCACGTGCAACCTGCTAACAAAATAAACAATTAGTTTAACTGAAAATAAATGAGTTATGAAAAATCAGGCCTGAACGGGGTGCAGTCGTGATACACTGCCCTAGAAGATAGAGGACCCGCCTGTCGCCCTGGCGTAGTTGATCCTCCCCCCTAGCGGTAAAAGCCCCCCGGAAACGGCCGGCCTCTCTACTCGGGCGCGAGTAGCAGAGCTTCTGCTCAGATGAAGATGATTGCCCAAAAATAATCCTCAAAATATGTAGCCGAAAATCTTTGAGTACTAAGAGTAGCAGAAGGAGGAAGAGGGAGCTATGAAATTCTTTGTGAATTTCTGTGTGTTTTCCCGAATGAACTCTGCCTCCTTATATAGCCTCATGAACCAGTAACCGATGCTGAATCTCCTCGTCCGTTGGGCGTAAATCACGCTGCCGTTACATAATAAATGCTGCCGTTACATAATAAATGCTGCCGTTACAAAAAAATAAAAGCTGGAGAAGCAAAACCCGAGTGCGGTGCGGCGTGGCGCGCGCGTCGTGGCGAGGCGTGGCGAGGCGAGGCGTGGCGTGCGCGCGCGCGTGTGTGTGGAGAAAGAGCTCAAACACTAGTAGCCAAAACACTATTCAAAGCCCATTAGGAAGTAAACCATTATAAACCACTTGAACTTCTTCTCAACTTCCAATGTGGGACTATTCACAAGGCAAAATTGCCTTTTCCTTAAGAAAATGCTAAACCAAGTATGGAAGAGTGTAGCGAGCAGTTCGTCTCGATCATGTTATGTTGGACACCAAAAGCATTTATTACGTATTTAGATAGCAAAGTAGCAGAGTTGGACAGCAGTTGTGCCGTTTCAACTGGTTTGAAAAGTTCTCTCGGAGCTTTTTATGGCGGTTAAGGCGTTAGATCGGAGTACGTTTTGAAATACATCTTTTTTGTTGTGTTGTGGGATATTGATTGCCTTTCGTGGACAAGGAAGGGCGCGTCTTGTGACGTGACTTTAAATGTATCCTCTTAGCGCCGGGTTTGCATGCGAATTAACCTACTTTCCGAGTCTTTTAAGTGTTTTTCAGCGGTAAACCCAAGAATGCTGCTTAAAGAACTTCACGATTCTTGCTTACTAGGGGTGAGTGGGCCCAGCCGCAAGATGGCATGTCTGGTTTTGGAGCTCGGGCGTATGTTCAGGACTCTATACAAGGCTGCCTCAACGGTCGAGCCCGAGCGCTTGTCTCCGGGGGTGTGGAGCCAGTCTAGCCCCAGGCCACTCCCGGCATGGGTCAGGTGGGCCTGACTCGTCCGCCAAGGCAAGGATTCGGGTCATTGGTTGCCGTATTTTGTACAATTTATATTTTTTTTTCGAAAAGTTTGCTTGATTATTATGTATAATTAAGAGAAAATTTGTATTTCTATATTTCTGAAAATCAAAACTTCTTATAAATTATCAGTTGATGATGAATTATTTCAAATGAACAAAAAGATCACATAATTGAACGTTAGTAAAATCATTATGATCTATAGAATATTCACTAAAATACTGAATAGATTCAAAAAATCTCTATTATTACAAAATTACAGGCTAAAATTCCGACAAAACTGGCAATTTTTCAATTGAGTGCTACTAAAATTAAATCAGTGGTATAAGCTATTCATGTAAGGCGGCCTGGACATTGCTAGTCGAGCCAGGTATTGAAGACATGGGGAGAAATTTGGGGGGAGCTGGTGGGCCATACTTCTTTGCCCTTGGTTTAGTAAGTAAGACCCACCTCGGCCCATGAGCAGCTGGGTATATACGTAGGTTTGGGCTCGATCAGAACTGTTGTTGGGCTAGGGTCTGACGCCCAATCCCAGGCTGGGCCCGGTTAGTTTGAACCAATCCGCCCCACCCTACATGCCAATGGCTAAGTGAACGTAGTTTGTGTAATGTGTAGATCTTGTAAAATAACGATTCATGGTATGGAAAGTATAATGTTTTAATCTTCAGTTTGATTTTCTAGAAATTTGAGTAGGAAAGTAGATTGTGTGCAACACAAATCAACTGTTGAAGATGGTTTATTATACATTAACAACAACTGTTTTTTTGTGTGATACCGATAGTTTAGGTGGTTTGGGTGGGGTGGGGGTGGTAGGCGCGGGGGGGGGGACCCTTTACTTAATACTTGATCTAGATTGTGTGAACATATTGTTTTAGTCACCAACATTGTTTAGTGGAGAAACCATTGCTGGCTTGTTTTAGTCAAATTAGTCTTGGCGTAGCTAGGCTCGGACGTTGTTGGATCCAATGAATGATCCCAAACAATATATAACTTTTAACTGCACACGGTTCCATTACACGTCAAGCAGTGGTTGAAATTCTTGTTTGAAGCCAAAATTAATACTGAATTGCTTATGTAAGATTACTGACAATCAAAGATACACCGAAGTTTTGTCAGCATAGAGAGCATCATGAAGACTTATCTACAGCCGCTAACGACTTCGGCGCTATTCTTGTCTTCAATACTGCGTTGTTGAGTGCCATGCAATAATTCCAGATTCAAGATTAATTAGCTAAATCTTGTACACAGCTTCGCAGCAGTTTTTATGCCATTGTATTGAAAGTACCCAACATCTTTTTTAAACAGGGGTTAAGTAGCGGATAAAAAGCCCCGTACATCACTGGCTTGAACTGGACTATCCACGGTTTTATTGTTTGCAGATAAACCCTAAAGAAAGAAAATTTTCTTGACTCTACCGCTCAGAGAAAGATAAACGATTTTTGATTATCAAATGAGACCCCGTGAGAATAAAGAGTTAGAAAAATTTCACTTGGGGTCTATCTGCAAAATAAATCTAAGAAGTAGTAAGTTCAGAACAACCACTCTTAGGATCTATTTGTGGTCTATTCGTCGGAAAAATCAATCACCGAGCTATCACTACCCTGAGTCCACCATTCTATAGTAACAAAATTAACCGCCTGCCCATCTATAGTACTTACTAACCACAAAACTAAGGCTATAAATAACCCCCAAACCTACGATGGAACTATCATCCATTACTAAGAAGAAAAAAAGAGAAGAAATAAAGAAAGAGAAAATAAATATGAGTATTTAAAAGTGTAGTGTTTGTAAAAATAGAGAGAGTGTTTAATTAAAGAAGATTGAGTATTTTACCCTAATAGGAAATATACAATTAAAAAAATTAGTGTCCACCACTCCTCTAAACTCAACGAGTGGCTACAGAGTAGCAGTCAGAGACGCTCTCTCCTAACTGTGACTAGTCGCTGTATTGACATTTCGAAGTTTTACGTGCTCATTAATACTATGAAATTATTGGTCAGGACCAGACTTGCATGAAGATAGCCGAAGCAGTAACCACGTCACAATAAGCAGTCTGGCAGTACTATATACATCTTAAGAAAATGGGTAACAACTACAACTACTATATGACTTATAATCCATTTGCAATAACAAGACATGTGGGAGGTCATCGGGTGGCCTGAACTATAAGGCCCCAGGAACTTGGCGAACGTAACTAAGGACTGAACATCAAAGCTGACGAGACTAGTATGGTGCTGGAACGAATAGTAGAAAAGATCTCGTAGACTATCATGCGAGATGCAGAAATTCGAAAGGAGCTGATTACGCTCGCGCACACTTTCTTCAAGAAGAACGACGGCTTGACGTCCAGTTCGTTAATAATCAACTGATACCTGCAACAAGTAGAACTTAGAATTAGTCCAGTATCTTCAGTAAGTAAAAAATTATTTCTGTTCATGATATTGCTCAGTTAGATCTCCTCTAGAGTATCGGATTAAGATACGAAGAATAATGCAATTCATGGTTTAAATACAGAAGTACCAATGGCTCGTGCTGCCACACGTTTGGCTGGACCTCTCAAATCATATTATAAAGTTGGAGAGTTTTCTCGCTACATAGGAAACCCT